GAGCGATGGCCTCAAGCCTAAGAGCGATGGCCTCCAGCCTAAGAGCGATGGCCTCCAGCCTAAGAGCGATGGCCTCCAACCTAAGAGCGATGGCCTCCAGCCCAAGAGCGATGGCCTCCAACCCAAGAGCGATGGCCTCCAGCCTCAGAGCGATGGCCTCCAGCCTAAGAGCGATGGCCTCCAACCTAAGAGCGATGGCCTCCAACCTAAGAGCGATGGGCCGCCAGCCTAAGAGCGATGAGCTCCAGCCTAAGAGCGATGGCCTCCAGCCTAAGAGCAATGGCGTCCAACCAGAGTATCATTTCTGTAGAGCAATGACGAGCACATGTTTAAGGTTAATGTATACCTCTCAAGGGCCACATCTCAAGGGTGACCACATGTCACGATTACAGTGTTGTTGCCGTTGCTATGAGTTTTAGCTAGTTCGTGTCTTCCCTGACAGCTTTATGAAGGAAACTGTCTTATGACCGATGTTGACCCAGAAACAGATGACACGACTGTAGAGTATGGATAAACCATGAATTTCATCCACCTCAAAAAGAACAGAATCACATTTGTACAAGACAATGCATGACCCCGGCATCCAAGCCTTGTTTCTGGCTTTCTGAAGCTTTCTGGGGTGGGACGACGTCGCCAGATACCATTTCGCTCCAGGACATTGACATTGGTCCCTTCACGAACATCGGCTCCTTCCCATCTGGGAACCCTAGTGGCATGAAGTTTGGGCGGGAGTGGGGGGGTGGGTTACATCCTCCAACCAATCAACAGGGGTGCTAGACCCGTTCACGGACCCTGTTAGACAGAAAAGATGAGCCCAGTAGATGACCGTCCAAAAGAGGAAATCACCTGTTGTGTTTAAGACTCCAGCTGTATACCGTATGAAACAAAATGTGATGTCTCGTCAAGACTCCAAACTAGACACATATATAAGTCGTTGGGTGTTGATGGGTCTTCACTTGAGCCTTCAGAGACCCCAAGAACGACCTGGATAACCTGGTTCTTTGAACATTGAGGCAGCCTAACCGGGAAAGTAGCTAATTAACGCTTTTGAGAATCTTCTTTGGCCAATGTGATTAAGGTTGACAAATACATGCATAATATTTGCCGGGCATGGTCCCCCGGACATGGTCTAGCCGCCCAATCGCATGGCGAGCATGATGAGGAAATATACCATTCAGGCCAGCGATTTTCTGGGACATCATGAGCAATGGCTTTAGACGGAAGGGTACTTCGTACTTCTCCAATCTTCACGGCAAGGGCTTGGGTTGACTCGAATTTTACCAAACGCAGACAGGAACGTGAATCAAATTTTACTAGGAACAAGAAGCTACTACGGGCTCCTGGCATCGCTACTAGGAGCAAGGACGCTACTAATTAGGGGCTCCTGGCCGTACTACTAGGAACAAGAAGCTACTAGGAGCTTTAACCGTTCGTTTCCGGGGACCTTCCGCGACGGCAACCCGGCTCCCTGAGGAATTCGGGCCGCGTGTCGCACGCGCTTGGGCTGCGGGGGCCATGCTTCACAATCGACACTGCTTGCTCGCCGGGAAGCCTGGAGTGGTGAATTCAATGAATGGCCTAGGAAGCTACTAGGAGCAAAGGGCATCGCTACTAGGAGGAAGGACGCTACTAGTAGCTCCTGGCCTTACTACTAGGAACAAGAAGCTGGACATCGATCACTAGGGTGCCAAAGCGTTCAATAGAAAAGCAGTTGGATTTATGCATGAATAGGGTAGCATAGGGTAGCTAGACATCGATGAGGTTATGTGTCGAGACCGATCGATGGACAAATTGATACATACAGTAACTGGATTTTGCTATCCTGAGGTCTACCCTGGTGGCCTTGGACTGCGCTGCGCAAGGGAAGCGCTTGGGGAAGTGCGATCGGAGCGCGGCCGCTGGGCGTGGTAGCACTACAGTGGCTGTGGGAAGTGGAACGAGACTGGAGCGGCTGGGGAAGTGTCCGAAGTTTGCGAGGGATCAACAAATCAGGACGACACTGAAGCAGGAATGGGACACTTTGTGGTGCGTGTTGATTCTTGGGATAAAAACTAACAAGCAGAGTTGAGTTGATCCTGAATCTGAACTTGGGAATTTCCTCTAAGTGGGAAGGTCAATAGTTTCCGCTAACTTTAACAGGTCTGTGCCCTGCTGCCAGAAACCCACCAGTGATTGGATTCCCAAACCACCAATCTTGGAGAGTGAAAGGAAATGTTGAGTGGATGGAAACCAACGCTTTCACTTTCTTCGCTTTCGCTTCAGTCCCTATGTGAAGCCACTCGAACGATGAACCAGACATGCTAGCAAATCCCAAGTTCTCCAAACATCCCCAAACATCTCCAAATCCACCAAAATCCCTGCAACACTTCGAATGAAACGGATAGAAATGCAATCAAACGAAGGACCGATATAGACAGCGGCCTGCACCAGCAGCACCAGGTCGCTGGCAGCAATTTGCAGTTGTGCCCCAATACGTGGGCCTTTCTGCAGCAGTCAAGACGGGGGGGGGACCAGGGCCACCTCGCGGGCGTAGGGGGTGAGGGGCTCCCAGGTTGCGCTACTAGTTGTTGCACCTTGTAGACCAGACCTGGACAGATGTCCCTTCATTTCTGAAAGATTGCACACACCGGCGATTTCCGGCACATGTACTGGGCTAGCGGCTAGCTCGTGTTAGGCGTGGCAAAGACAAGGCCTAAACGGTCAAATGCCTGATAGCTGTGGGGTTCTGTGTTGTTAATTCATAGCTTTCAAGCACATATTCATCTCCTAACAACCCATCCACAGCAGCTCCAAGAAAAAGACTTTGAGATGGTTTAAGTACCGGCTCCACTACATCAACACAAATTGATCGAGCAGTATCATCCTGCTCGGGAACATGACGGACACCATTCTATTTATACCCAGACCCGGAGTTACCCCTGCTTTGGAAGATAGACCATCCAATCATATCCAATCCAATGTCATCCAATGTATTTGTATAGATAATGCATATGTTATGTCCAGTCAAAAACAGGGGTCAGATGGGTTCTAAGCATCCGAGGTGCTGAAGAACTTGTTCACATGTCAACAAACCAAGCTCGTTTTCCTGCAATCTCGTAGCCTCAGCCTGCTGCTTGCCATCTTTGTTTCGGTGGCTTCGCGGTATTATTTGTTTCTTTGTGGAATACCATGCATGTGTTCCCACAAAAGGAATGACCGGATATAACCTGTACAAAACCTCCGAGAAATGTACTTGACCATACTGAGCCCAAAGCTCCCGAACCTTCCTGCACACCCTCCTAAAATCCCTACACTGTCTCGCGCTCTAGCGTTTTGAAGGTGGGCTTCTGCAAGATGGGCCTGGCTTTGTCGCCGGATGGACGCTGTAAGACCTTCGATGAGTCTGCGAACGGCTTTACCCGTGCAGATGGCGCTGGCTCCATCATTTTGGAGCTGCAGACCGCTGCCGAGAAGGTGAGGGGTGTGGGGAGACAGGGTTTCTGGTGAGGAGGGCGGATGTTGAGTTTGGGCGACAGCTCCGAGCATTCACTAGATCTACTGTATAGGTTTGCTCATCGACATAGATTCTGAGAAGTGAAAGCCTTGGGTCCTTTCCATCAGCTTAGACTTAGACACAAGCACCCTCCAACAAGTCATCAATCGCAACGTTGGCCTCGCCAAAAAGCTTTCACAGAAAACTTCTTGGAGTATTTTCGACCCAGAAATTTGGATGTTAGGGACCTCAAGCCCCCCTCGACCTAAAGCCACAGGTCATGAGTCACTTGTCCGCAGAACTGGTGCCATTCCAGAAGTGACAGGTGACCTGAAGACATTCTTGTGAATGCCCCCAACACCCAAAGAGATTGGTTGCAGTGGTTGTCGATCCATGTTCTTCATCTTGCGACAACCAAGATAGCTGCAATGGATGGACCCAAACGAAGATTATCCACTCAGTCGAGATTGTCCGCCACTTACCAGCTCCACACTTCTCCTTGCTCCCAGAATGGCAAGCAAGAGCTGGCCATGGGCCTGGGCGTTTGCGTGAACCAGGCGAGGACGACTAGACCCCGCAGCCAGTGGAAATCCTGGGTAAAAGGAACACCTCGAATGAAACTCAAGTAGTGTCTATCATTCACAAGTATTTTGGTAGTACAGCTTTTAGCCTATCTTTTGTATCACAGCTGGGGATTGCTGGATTTCATCCGTCAAGAAAGTAGTTCCACAAGATAAATGGCTCAAGAATTTCACCATGACCAAAATACTATGACCACTAAATCAGAGAAGAAGCTGGCCCCCTGCGACGCTAGCATCCTGAAAGAGCTTCGATGAGCTGGACCAGTTTTGCTGGCCTTTTCCTACCTCTATGTTCGCCTTGCTGTCAGCCCTGTTCTGCCTAGCTGTGCTTGTGGGTGTTGCTAATCAACTAAACCATGGGGACATGAGATGCCCAGGATGTTTTCCTAAATGTGCTGGTTTGTCTCATAGAAACAAGCAAATACTGTAGCTGTCCTTCATTGATGGTCATCTCCATTGACAAGCTTTGTCAGCACAGACTTTCATAGCCTTCCAAAAGTCAACCAGGGCCTTTCTTTTGTTTGTTCGTCAACATCGTCAACGACAGCCGGCGTCAATCCTGTGAATGTCTGGTGGAACGTGTGGCACTTTGACGACCCACAGGACGGCCGTTCAGCCACCATCACTGCGCCAAGTGGCCCTGCACAGCAGCGCTGTATCAATGCGGCCCTGCAGGTGAGCGGGGGGGGAGGATGAGACATCCTGGTGTAGGGTGGGCTGTTTTCTACAAGCATGAGTCAGGATGAGCTGGCGGAAATAAAGAAGAGAGAATTGGTAAGAGGGCGGTCAAGGTTATGATAAAGCACGACGAGCCCCATCTTGGTGGCTAAAACCTCAATAATCTTGCACAGGCATGCAGATGAGAGCAGAGATTCTTGGCTTTCTGATTGTCAGGATGAGCAAAACTCCCAAAACTCATCTCGTTTTGAACGCGACCTGAGACGTCGCGTGGTCCAACGCTGTTGGGTTGTTGCAGGAGGCCTCGGCGAAGGGCCTGGAGGTTTCGATGGTTGAAGTGCACGGCACCGGTACCGCACTGGGCGATCCCATCGAGGTGGGCGGCATGCCGCTCGGACCCTGCCAAACCGGACGGTGCCAGACGGTGGATGGGACGCGCGGCACATGCGGAGATTGATGTGGGTTGAGTATTGAGTACTACTTGTACAGTCCTTTAGCATGTTATCAGAGACCGCAGGTGCTTGGAAGAAGAACTACCAGCAACCCATGCCAGAAGGGGTAGGACCGCAGGAGGTTCCAACCGGGGGTCAAGCACAAGCACTCGCCTTGTAGGATCCTGATTTTCCGGGAAATTCTGCACAGCCTGCCGAGCCTGCTTGTTTGTTTCATTAATTTGTTTGTTTGTCTTCCAACATGCAGATGTGAGGCAACCCAAGTGAGAATTCCCTTATTTCTGCCAGTGACTATGTTTAGCCACCCATCCCCCAACGAGCTCAGGAAGAGCACCTTGGGCAAGCAACGGCTGGACGACAATCCCTTGATCCTGGCAGCCACCAAGTCTATCATCGGCCACACAGAGGGCTCTGCTGGTGTGGCAGGCATTTGGAGCGGTGTGGGTTGGGGTTTGAAAGCCCAATGTGGGTACTGTAGATATGCTGGCTGGTACTCCCCAGGTTGATCTATTTGCAAGACCCAAGTCAAGAGGTGTCCAAAGGCGGTTTAACGTTTTTTTTTGTTGCAATTTGACACCATCAATGGATTCAGTGTGTGGTCTGAGAGGTCTGGTGTATCATTTGGTCATTTGGTGAATGTTTTCCTCGTTGTAATTCCCATACAGGCCAGATACTTCAAGTCGGAAGCATGTCGGATCACTGCGCGTTATTACATTTATCACTGTATGCCTTCGTGGGCGTGGCTTAAACAGAAGAGACCCCAGAAACGTCAATTTTAAAGAGAGGGGAGCGCAGTGAGCGGTACATTTTTTCGATGAAAATGACACATTTCAATGATGTTTAGGCATCTTAAACTTGATTAGTCTCCTGGAGTATTTGTTGATTCCTTTTTCTTTGTTAGTTCTCCCATACTAAATTGATCCTCTAAGAGATTTATTTCAATACTTATTGCCACACAACTATGTTGAAATAGTTATATAATAGTTGCCTCTTTTTTTCTACTGTAATTATATATACTGTATACTGCGACCTTTCCTTGCTAGTGGTTTGCGTCTCTTTCTTTTATATATTTAGCACATATTCCTTACTGTAGATTGATTTAGCTACTCGTTTCCTTTTTCCTTCTATGTTTCTCTACTTCTTGATTCCTTCCCCACGCCTGGCAATTTTAAAGCAACAAACATATAAAATCTCCCCGATGAAAGTACACACCCCAAAGGTACTTGGTGCTAGCAAGTAGCACCAGGCTGGACAGAAAGGTGAACCACCAAGCTATAGTTCCAAGGTGTACCACGGTATACTTGGTATGTCCTTCATGGCTCTTGTAGAGTATATAACTTGTACCACGCAGTCTTTCTTTCTTCAGCTATGAGTGTTTGGGTGCAGATCTTGGAGCTCTGTTCATTATCATTGTCTTATTCAGTATCTTCTTTATCCACTTCAGTGTCCTATCTGTAGTTTCATTGACATTGCCAGTCCATATAGGTTATTGGCATATACATAGTATATATATAATTTGATGGTTTGTTTTCATCATATTAATCTCCCATGTACTTCTTGTTTGCTCTTGCTTCCTTATGACTTACCTGACACATTCCACCACGAAGACCCTTTTCAATCATCTCATACACCGACGTTCGGAACACGTGCCGGATCTGGCGGAGATGGCTGCAGGCCTCATCAAGATGATTGCAGAGTTCAATTATAGGCACCGCCGACGCTTTAGGGTGATTGGTTTCCCGTTGCGGAGGCGGTGTTAAACAGGGTGTCAGCACCCCCCAAGGTGTGGATGTGAAAGAACTCGAGCTGGTAGATCAGCCATCGCAAATCAGCACCAACCTCATCACAGGGGAGAGTGATTTTCCTGGTATCCTGCGCAAGGTTTGAAGATGTCTCTATGAATTACAGGGCAGAATAGGCTCTCAAGTGATAAGATGCTACAAACAATCTCAACAGGAACAAGGTCAATCTAGCTCATTGAGGACTTCACTGATCCGCAAAAGCCTCTTCGGCAGAGGAGGAGCGTCTTCATCATGTTTTTGTGGTCCGTGTCAGTTTTGGTTTCCGGGTAGTCTTGGATGTCACACATAAACACCTGCAGGGTGCTCCGCTGCCGATGAGCGTACAGTTTGCCTATGTTGGCCCCAGACACCAAAAGAGAGACTCAGTCTATACTCTACACTCCACACAAAGCTCCAATTGACCATGGGTAATCAGAGCATCGCCCTGAAACATCTCGTGAAGCAGGATGGACTGTCCATCAGCAGTCTCCCGGCCACCGAGGGCTGTTTGATTTCCTTTTTGCTGGTACCTACTGAACTTCCACACAATTTCACGTGGGAGTATATAACTATATACTATTATATTATATATATAAAGACATAATTCAAAAGGTTCTCTTAAAGAGCAATGAGTCCAAAGAGGTAGCACGTCAGAGAGCCATCAAAGCGAAGAAGGATTCTAGTCATTGTGGGAAATGCAAGTTTTTCGCATCTCCTGATGAAGCTAAGAGTTGTTCTCAAAGCTTCAGAAAAAGTCTGCCATGCCTAGCTGGCCAGGATTGTGCCAAAGAACCTTCACTTGAAGAAGATGAATCCCAACATCGACCTCACCGATTTCCCAGCTGCTGAGCACAATGGTCAAACGAGAAAGGCAGAAAGAACCAAGAAAGACACGGTGCAACTGAACCCTATTGCACCTTGTCAACAGACCCCAGGGCAACCAGCACTAAAGAGGCCAGGTATGCCAGGGTATCCACGAGCTCAACGAATTATGTATATATATATATATACATACAGTAGAATGATGTAGAATGAACAATTCTGGCTTTGGAGAAATGCAAAGACCGATGCAGGGAGCCTCAAGTCCTATACAACGTATACAACCATGCTATAGGAAAGATTTCACTGTTGAGTTCAACCATGCTATATTCAGAGCTTGGAAGTTGTTCTTTCGAAGGTGATGGCGACTGGGAAAAGGATCGTTCAGGAAGATTTGATTCTTCTCTTCTGCAGGTCATCATGCCCAGCAGCATCATCGATTGGAAGGTCACCAGGGCCATGGCCGGCACCTCCTCCTTTGGCTTCTCAGGTACCAACAGTCACGGCCGCCCGGCAGAGCTCAGATAAATCGTGTTTCAAACTGTATTTAAACTACTTATAGTTTGGAAAATTGTGTATTTAACCCATCTATATTTGGGAAGGGTTCTTCCAACCAACCTGTTGATGAAGGAATCTGGAGGACCATCTGAAATGGTTTCAGCGGGTTCAACCGGCGAAGCTCACGGTATTTACGATGAATGGTGCATCTTTCGTTGTGCTAGGTAGGATTTCATGAACTAGACCCTTTCAGTGACTTGATTTGAGCGAAGAGAGAAGTCCAGGCCGGCACCAGTTGAGATAGTCTGTCAGATAGTGGATCCACTGTCATAGCGAAGTTTGGGGATTCCAATTTTATATGTTGCCCCGGTGGCAGATGGTCCAATCCATCTTCCTGCCTTTATCTGACCAACTGAGAACGGTCCTCCCCACTTGGTTCACAAGACTAGGGTTCTCGGTGTGCAAAACCTTTGCGCTCCAAAAAAGGCATTGTGTTTTGATCTTAGAGGCAATAACTCTTGTAGAAGGTCTTATCAAATTGTTGGTCGAAGAACAAATTTCATGAACCACATAGAAGATCCTCATCCTTTCCAGCTTTTGCTTTAAACTTCGGTATCACAGTTAGCCAACCCACTGATATGCAGCTAAAATGCACTAGACAAGATTGTCCAGATCTCCATGAACCCTCAATCCATGTGAACGTGGTCAGCAATGGGCGGTCACAATGAGGCATCCTGGAAGCTCCGAAAAAGGGCGAGGGTCGCGATGTCCCCATGGAGCGTGGCCTGTCAGAGATGTGGGGAGGGATAAAGAGATGTAGTCGAATGAGATCACACAGACCAAGGATGGTTTAAAAGAACCAAAGAATTGTGAATTGCGTGGAATTGCATATTCCGCCTTGGGTCAGACTCAGAGGGCCAGCTGTTGCTTTGGCAATCTATCAAGTATTCCAGCTCGGTCGAGTACTGCAAAATACGGTATCTGTGGGCTGTGTGTTGAGAGTGTGTTGAGATAGGTTAGATAGGGGATGCTGCCAGGGATGCTGCATATATAGACATAGATGGGGCGAACAAATCGTGCACAGGTCAAATCGGTGAGGAGTGAGATGAGAATCTCCGAACGTTTTTTTCTCTCGCATCAATACCAGATCTCCTATGATCTCCGTACATATTGCTTCACATCATGCTGTTGGATACTTACGAGAATTATATAGACCTTTGAGAGGCCAGGCATTTTTCCATTCAGGGGATTTGGAGTGGGCGCTGGCATACATTGAAATTGAATTTGGGAGCTGGGAAACCAACCTTTTTGGAGTTGGGTCCACATGATTGAATTGGCTTCACCTGCAACCGGTCAATTCGAATCTATGTATGTCTCGTTCTAGTGTTGCTCGGACTGAGCGCAGTTCGCGCTTGTGCATCTTGCGCATCTATCTATAGTCTTGGTTAGTGCTTTTCTTTTGTAAAGCCCAATCAATCCTCCCTCCGCTATGGGGGGATGTCGTTTCGTTGCGACCTGCCTTAACTGGGGAATGGTTCCTCTGTTTATGGTTGGCACCCACTCGATAGTCGGCCAGGTTGCGGGACTCCTCACACCGAAGGGCTTTTCAATCGGTTTGTTTGCAGTGAGGCTTTCGGGGCCCACGCAAAGCTTACTATCACCATTCCAGTACAGGATCATGATGTTTTTTTGGAGACATCTTCTCATGGTTTCGGTTTTCTTTGATTGTGGAGTGGTGCAACAAATCTCGTGCAGGAAGAAAGTAGTACTGGAAGAATTCAACTTCATTCTTGTACTAGTAGTAACAAGTGCCACGCTAGTAGTAACAGGTGCCTTACTAGTAGTAACAAGAAGCTATTAGAAACAATAAAATTAATAGCTCTTTGGGGGAAGCTACAAACCATGTTCACCTTGAGTGACGCTCAACAGATCAAGCGGCCAAGTCAGGGTGATTGGACCCCGCTAGCGGTGGTTTAGTTCCACCACCCAGGGATTTGAGTTGATCAGGTGCGGAGAAGCTCAACTGGAATCGCACCATGCACCGAATGTACCACGAGTGGTCTTCGGGCTATTGGTTCTCCACCGAACCTTGGTCTCATTGAAGAAACGATCGAAGTTGGAGCCAGAGAAAGCTGAATGAATTGATGCATACGACAAAGACAACTTGGACCCCTGGTTTTGGAATCTTCTCTTCGAGACCCTCTTGTTTAGTTTAGTTTCCAAGGTTGTGGATGTTCGCTTTTATCAAAGCCACCCTTTTCCCATCGGGACCCACTTTCAGCCACATTTATATACTTATAAAGCTCAATCAATTGCATCTCGCTTCGGTTCTACAGTGTGCCAGTGTTGTGAGTTTGTCTGTGTTTTTTTGGAAGGTGGTTTCATGTGTTGGTTGTTAGCGGGACAAGGATTTCAACACCCGTTTTCACTGTGATAACTCCCATATATCACCATTATGGTAAGCCCAGAAGAACCCCTGATAGAATCCCAAGATACCCCCCCAGATCAACCCATATAAACCTCAAATTCTAAGGTCGCGTTACGGATGCAAAGGGGCACACATTGAGACATATTCTACGATTCTACGACCTCAATTCATACAACCAATCTTCCGAAACTCTACTCAAAGGGCCACTTACAGGTTTTCACTGGGGCCCTGGATATGATGTCAACAAAGAACTCTTCAAATGCCGTCCATTGTGGTAGATGGTAGACGCCTCAACGTTGCCCAATAGATGCTCCACTCCCGAGTTCCAAGCACCAACTACTGTCCGAGATCGACGCCAACTGCCGAGGAATGGCGATCCATGGCACTGGTTGAGCAGGGTGACCTCAGCGAGACCTCACCATGCCACTTGGCAGGGATGCGGGCGGCGGACCGCCTGGAAGCTGCTGTGTTTGGGGTGTCCACTTTGCTGTCCATGCGCGAGGTTTTTGAGCAAATCACATGTTCCCAACATAAGTGGGGTAGAATCGGGTAGGAGATGGACAAATTGAACCTTCAGATTGTATTGGTTAGAGTCGAGCAAATTAGAGTCAAGAGTCATAAATCCTCGAGTTGCGGAGGGTAACAGCATTTACATTGGATTCGTCAAATATCTTTGACATCACAAGGCAAATGCATAGCTGAGCCTCTTTTTGTGAGGTTCAGAGACCGGCGATATGAGTAGGGATCATTATCCAAGCAGTCCTGGCACATGACTAAAACAGCCTGCCCAGAATGAAACAGGGTTGCTCTCAGCTCTGAGAGCTAAATGACAAGCCGAGGGGAAAACCTCCAAAAAGACCGGATTTGCGCTAGCCGACAAGACATAGAGCATCCTGTGTTCAAGCAGCTCCAAGACTTCACGATCCTTTTGCACTGTTTGATCTCCTAAAGAACCACCCCGTACCGCCCCATCACAGTATGCAACCCACAAGTACCCTAGCTTTTCTCTGGATGTATTTCTACCCCTGTGTGTACCTACCCTGCAAAAGCGACAGTGGTGCAATGGGTTCAATGCTGCCCTAGGCTTGGTGGTGGGCGGCAACACCTTGGGCTCGGAGCTGCAGACTCTCTTGAGCGCGGAGCGTGTGGATGCCGCAGGTGCAGCCGAAGCACTGAAAAAGAGCAGCTTCAAGTCAGTCTCTTGGGCTTCGATGATAGCGGGAAGAATGAAGGTGTTCAGTATGGGTCAGTGGTCAGAGGTCAGGACTTTATGTGAATTTGGCCTTTGTAAGCGAGAGAGGGAAACAGAGAGAGAGAGAGAGATTTATATAGTTTTTGCAGGAGTGATTTTGAATGTGGGATGGCCGATTGCTGCTAGTTTCATCAGATTTCAGTGACACTATTCATTGGTTCGATTCAACCAACTTGCATAGAATCAAGAACATGGGCAGAAACGATTGGGCTGGTCGGCTCCAAAAGACAGCACCCATTGGCAAGTTAGCAGCTAGCAATAATGTCGAACGGCTCAGGTGCAGGAGTGTCCTTCAACAGCAGTCTTGAAATCAGGCGCAAACTAATCTAAAGCAGTGTTGCAAGATCAAGCATTACATCCTGACATCTTGTTATATACTGTGATAAATCCCCTATCCACCTGGCACCTGATTACTTGTGTTCTTCAAGGGGTAGAAGTACAAGATGTCTTCGCTGTTCAGAGCCATGCGGGAACCACTTGACCACCAGCTCCCATGGACTCCCTATTGTTCAGCATGTCGCTGGCCTAAGGTGGTTTTCTTTGCCACCTCCTCCGATCCTCTCCTGACGGGTCCAACCTTGGGACATCTCCTGGAGATCTGTGGCATGGCAACAAACCACGTATGACGAAGAAAACACGGAAGTGATGACAACGCAACCAGTGCTGGTCAAATACTGGTCAAATGGCAGGTAGACCTTTTTTTGGAGAAGGTTCTCTCCCAAGACCCTTGAGTATAGGAGGATGGTTCATGGACCTTGGTGAGGATAGAATTGTTTTGGAGCATGTTAATTAATTAGGTTGGAGTTTTTTGGCATCGTAACGGACTCCCATTCAACCTAATAGCCCTCACGAGGAAGGTTCATTGATCTCTCAGAAAGCGTTGCTCCTGCCAGTGTTTTGGAAACGACACCGTTGAGGTTTCCATAGCATTCACAGTCCTTCACATACGTGCTGACTTAATCATGTTGGTAATTCTATACTTGTTTTGAGACTTTGCCCATCTGCAAAAGAATCTCGGTTTGGTATCCGGATGAAGTGGGGGTACACGTTGAAGAACAAGTAAATGGCGGATGTTGGACCCTGTCGCGACGGTGGTTGCGGTTCCGCCAACGTTCCTAGGATGTTTTTGCCACGTTCATGGGAGTTATTTCCAAATATACGACTGCATACTGTATTTGCAATCTGTTGATATGGATAAACTTCCATTCCAGGCCAAACCTCAAGCTTTCCCTCTGCGAATTCCATGACCGCCGCTACAGAATCCTTCAAGTTCTCGTGAATCCCCTAGGCCCTAGGCCCTAGTTGCACAGAACTCTTGTTGCCACCACTAGGAGCAAGGACGCTACTAGGGGCTCCTGGCCTGACTACTAGGAGCAAGAAGCTACTAGGGGCTCCTGGCATCGCTACTAGGAGCAAAGGACGCCAATGCAACCCTATACCATAAACCCTATTTTGGTCGACCTGTGTTGACCACCACTATTAATTCTTTTCCCGAGTTTCCCCGCCCACCTTATCGCGCGTCCCTGGTCCCTTGCAGGTCAAACACTGGCTGAGCTCGGCCGGGCACGTTTGATGGTGGTGACTGCTGGAGCGCAGGAGACAGCAAAGTTGACCTAGCCAATCAGTGGCTGCTGACCTTTAGCCTTTTTGGCGACTGGTTTCCTGCGGAGAAGATTCACATTTTCTCTTTGGGGTAAAGAAGTGGCAGCGGGAGGCAGTAAAGATTACGTTAACAGTGGAGCGGCGACGGTGGTGGTGGAGGTGGTCATGGTGGAAAAGGCTCAAAATCCCAGAAACAGCAGGCTTTGGAAATTTCCGCATGCTGGGTTTCTGCGATAAACTTTATCATGTCACATTCAGAGACATTTTTTTGAGCAAAGTGCAACCAGTTTTCTACTCGTTCTTGCAATCATTCACGCAAGTGGGATATTTCCTTTTCAGAGTAGGGATCCCCACAGACCAATTGGTTTCCACGGTACTTTCCACCATGGTTTGACACAGGGGTCCTGCTTGGAGACGCCATGTAGCGGTGGGTGATACAGCATGCCCCAGCATCTTTTTTGCAGACCAATCTGTTCGTTGGGAGATGTTGGGAGTTGATCTAGAGCACCATGGTTCCACTACCAACCAGTTGATTTGTGCTTCAATATCACTTGAGATCGAAAGCTGCCTATAGGAATTCGAGGTACAAGATTTTGCCCTATCAAGGGCCTCAAGTTATGGTTTGAGGCACAGCCGTAGGCTCAGCAGGCCTTAGGTTGCTCCACCGATCATGGTGAAATGTCCCGTGGGCAAGCCGATAGGAGGCGAGTGACGCTGGAGAAGAGCAGATGGGCAAGGGCCTGCTAGGCAGGGAAAGAAGTCGAAAAAATGGATCTGGCTACAGAGGTGTTTATATACAATTGCGTTTAAAAAGGCTTCAGTCATTATGAAACAGGAATATATAGTCATCCACAAATAGACTGTGATACTGTTGAGTCTCCTGTCGAGAATAAAGGGTATGCACTTCTGAATGTCTCAATCCAGATTGGAGGGGTGACTTAAAGACAGTTTCCAATTCTCCTTTGCAAAAGTCTGGTTTGGGGTATTTCAGGACGAAGGGCTGACCTGCTTAAACTATCTTAAATTACTAGGTACTAGTAAGGCCAGGAGACCCCTAGTAGTGTCCTTTGCTCCTAGTAGTATGGCCAGGAGCCCCTAGTAGCGTCCTTGCTCCTAGTAGCGATGCCAGGAGCCCTTTGTAGCTTTTTGTTACTAGTCATGGAGGTAATTCTGGATCACTTGCGCTGAACTCAAACATGTGAGATGTCTATAGGTCCATAGGCCCGCAGGCAGGTGGGATTTTGCACTGTAAAGGAAAGACATTTGGCACCATAGAATCGACACTGTACAAACGAATGTCGATGGACTAAATCCTGCACCACCTAACATGGTTTGGGGACCGAGGAGATGCCCGTGTCTTCCTACGTCTCTGAGTAGGGTCATCCACCCAGCCGCTCGTCCACAGGTGCCGCGGCCTGCGGCTTTATGCGTTCTATGCCTTTGGATGCCCCACAGCTCAAGACGCAGGTGGTTGATCTGCCCGGGCACTTAGCGGAGAGTGAGAGTCAGAGCATAGATCAGGGAAACAACACAGGAAATTGGGTGACAATTGAAGGTGAAGGCTTTTGTGTTAGTTATTTTGACGAACACAATGGAGAACATTGGGGACAAACATTTACAAAATACAGATGTCTTTTTGCGGGTGGTAGTGACTTAGTGAGTGGTGTTTGATAGTGCTTTATCTCACAATGAGGTAGACACTCGGTTAACATGTGAATTGTTGGATGTTCCAGGAATGATCATCCAAACACATACCCTCTATAGTCCACTGGCACTGAAACAGCTTTGTCTACATTCATTTAATGGAAGTACATACTCCATGAGCTGGAAAGTTGGAGCCAGCAAGTTTATCGGTGTTCACTCTTCCATGAAGCTGAGTCTAATTCGAACTTTTCTTATAACATGACAATCACTACAAAAAATCTAATAGCGTCCAGGAGCCCCTAGTAGTAAGGCCAGGAGCCCTAGTAGCGTCCTTTGCTCCTAGTAGCGATGCCCTTTGCTCCTACTAGCGAACATTGCTCCTAGCCACAAAAAAAGGACAATGTGCATCGCAGGACAATTGACCTGTAGGGCCTGCATGAGGCCAGCGGCTTTTGAGAGCGAGAGTTGGGCGGAGAAGCTTCAGCTGGAACTCTCTCAAGAGGCACGCGTCGATTTGGTGGTGGGTTTGGTGACCAGAGGTTGGGCAAGGAAGAAAGCCGAAACAGTTAAGATGGGGAAGTACAATCCTTTTGTACAATGGTGTGAGAGCGTTTTTATTGGCTTCCTTCACATTCCTTCACAACCGGATTGCATATGATTTACCCCCGATCGTTTCCCCTTTCTTTGGTCAACATTCCAAACATGAAAGCCTGAACGACTTGTGAACTGTGGGTTTTTGATCCACAAAGATACTCAAAATTTTGTTTGGTGCGTGCAACAGCCAGCAGTAGGGTCAGGCTAGATAGCACCAGCCACCACGTTTGATGATAGATTTGCATGGGTGCTGATGTCCACCTCCTTCCTATTCATTCCATCCTTGACGTCTTGAAGGCCTTCGACGCAGAGGTCGCCTACCGGGGAGGCCAGCGGCAGGTGCCACGTTTGGCACGCTTCACACTGAAGCCAGGGGTGCCCTGGCTCGGAGTGTCTGAGTGTCCGAGAATTGGATTGAGAAACAAACTGCAAATATCTTTCCCAAGCGGAGGGTTGTGGAGCCGTTTCCATCCTGCATTGAGCCTCAGCATGGAAGATGGCTCGGAAAGAAAGCACAGAAAAGTGTGCTCCCTTAAGAAGACTTTCATCATGCCTCGGGGCGTTCGAGTTGCAAGTTGCAAGGCATCACACCTATATAACTCGGGCATATATATATATATAATATTAATTTATAAACACATAATTTTCACAAGTATGAACTGAAATCCCAACCCAAGATCTGTACGGACATCAGGAAAAATCTCTGGGTAGTCCATCCGCCGAGGTAACACTCCTGGACGATTTCGAGGCCACCCAGCTGGTCACTGGTGGTCTCGGTGGCCTTGGTCTGGTCACGGCCACCGGCCTTGCAGCGCCTGGGCAAATTCGTGCCGAGTTCACGTGGCAAAATCTAGGGCGGAGAAATGCTAGGGATGAATCTCCAGAGTTTTTTTGGAGGTGAAGAAGTCACCCCTGATCACCAATAGCTCATTAGTACTCATTAGTAGACACCCAGAACTGGGGTGTTCAGGTAGATAATTTTAGAAATTGTTTTAAGTTGGTGACAACTTGAAGCTGAAGGTGTTGAGCTTGAGAAGTCTCGAATTGTGCAGGTTAGTGTTCATCGGTGCAAGGTTTTGGGCGAGGAGGTTGGAGGGACCAGCGAAGGTTTCTGAGTTTACTGAGTGGTAATTAAGAATTAAGACTTCATTCGATTATGAAAAAACACAACTTAGAACACCTTTGAACCTGATTTTGGACTCTGAGCGGCTAGGAATTATCCTTCGCCCAGCGTACTTTGCACTGTTCAGCTGCACTTCGCCGATCCTAAGGACTTGGGTGCTCGCAGCCTTGTTCTTTGCTCACGGCGTGGGCAAGTGGCCGCTGGTGATGAGGCAGGATCATGTGGGATCCACTGGGTCGGAACTTTTGAGATTCCTCACAGCCACATGGGTGCTGGGAAGAGGCTCTCCTGAGCCAAAGCTTTGTGCGTTTCACCTTAAAAACTGGGTAACGGTCTTGGTTGCGCTAACTGTTCGTGCCGCTCTTGCGAATCCATGGCGAGCAGAATTGCAGATCGCAAGCCGCAACGGACAGATGCAACAAGCACTGCTATGTACACTGCTTCATTGTGAATGCACCAAGGATCGATGAGCACTGGAGTGGCCTTTAGTGGTTGACAACCTTGGCATGGGAATGGCTGAGTAACAAATCCCCAAAATTGACATGGTCACACGATTGTCACACGCACCATATTCACAGGCTTTCCAATGATCACAAGGCATAACCAGTGAGGTTCTCCTGAAAATTGGAGGTTTGTGGGAAGAAATGCTATACCACCTGAAATGAAGATTGTGTCATCAATCACCTGCACCAAGCAGTACAGGAATTCTTCGGAAGATCCATGAAGTCTGCAACCGGGATTCTCAAGGAGGAAGTTGCAAGTGTGGGGCTTGTCCCAGTGATGTCAAACCTTGTCTTTTATATGACTTTTCTATCCTTTCCCCCAAGCTTCACGGTGGCAAAGGCAAATCCACGTTGTTCACCGTAGGTGGCGCAGCAGCAATTGGAAGAGCTACAAGCCAGGCCCAACGTCAAGGTTACGGCCCTGTCGTGCTGCTTGGACTGCGTGACAGTCGTGGGAGCAGCATGGCCAAGCTGAAACAGCGGTCACCAGCTGCAACAATCAAGTTTGCAAATCCAACAGAAGGAACCGAATCCCATGAAGATGACCTTAGTGTTGAATACGATTATATAGGATGGGTATCTTCGATTGTTATATTATATTCTGCAATTATGGCTAGTGGAAGATCCCTTTCCAGAAGGCCACGCTAATGCGAAGGAATCTGCTTGTCTTGGCGGGTTTGACTTCATGAGAGTTTAACTCATTAAGCTCACCAAACCTGTACCCTGGACATTGAGTTAACGAACAACAATGGTTTTGCTAACCTGCTAAGCTGCTAAGGATCGTTTGAAGACGCAACCGGATCAACCTGTTCTTTTCATGGACTTTCAACGGCTAGGTGTACCATTCACACCATTTCACACCCATCCATCCCATGTCAGTTCCCATGTCATCTCTCTTCGTGTGAACTGCTCTGCAGTGGACTTTCAAACAACCGAGGTGACGTGGGCGATGCAGGCAGCGTCCAGAGCCTCTTGCAGCGCATTGGCCAGGAGCTTCCCGAGAACCCCTTGGGCGGTATTGCGCCACTTGGAGAGAGGATAAGGAATCTGGAGGAATCCAAGAAAAGAGAAATGAACAAACGAAAGGGCTCAGTAAACAATGTTTAAAGGGCCTTTTTGCATTCTTTTTGTTCATCTCTTTTTCCTTCGATTCCCCTAAAGAAATCGGGCGAAAGAGGAGTGAAGACCGAAAAGGCATCCGAAGGGCCTAAGACCAAGATGGCTAAATGTTTGGAACTGGCTGAGAGCACATTCGAACCAAAAGACCTGCGTGCAGTCTTTTGTCCCACCAATGTGTACAGCAATTTCTGAGAGATGTTCAATCGTTTTTCAAATGACTTCATGGCACCCCACCAAATTCCACGGAGGTAAGTGTTGTGAACATTTGAAGGACTGGGGCGGGGCATCTATATACTGCACGCAAGTCCACTTAGCAGCTTAGCAACACAGCCAAACGAACCTCCCACAATGCAAAGCCATGCAAACCCACTGCTTTGAAGAGCTTAGTCGGGGTCTTTGTGCGGGTGGGACAGAACCTGTGGCTCTCGTCTTCCAGAAGCAAACTTCAAATTCTCCGGCCACCTCCAAATGCCAGTGCAGAAGGTTCAGTGCATAGATGCCTCCTGTTTCACTTCATTCCCCATGGGGGGGCCATGAAACGACCCAGGCACGCTGCGGGAGTGATCGATTTCGTGGAGTTGAAGTCTCAAAGTGCAGAGCGCATGGCAAAGGTCTTCAAGCCGAAGGCTGGAGAAGTGGAAGAAGATGACGCAGAAAGTAGATGACGCTGTCAGTCTGGATGGTGGCCCAGGAAAGGACTAGAAAGAGGAATGCTGGTTTTAGTAATATTGTCCCATTTTGGGTATTGGGTTACCATGGTTTCCCCAAACTACCAACATCCAAAACACAAAAACTAGTGGTCTCCTCAAGATCCTGAAGCGGGCCGAATCTATGGAACTATTCGCAGACCTTTGTGACATGTTTGAGTGCTTTTGTTGAGAAATTCGCGATGCTTCAAATGCAATCGGGAGAGTTATAGTGTAATATAGAGTCTATTTCAAGCACCGACAGAGAATTCCCAAGAGGATCGATTGAGCACGAGAGATCCAACCCAACCTCATGGTTGCCGGTCCAGTTTCCCGGTGGAGTTCCCGGAATGTCCGAAGCAGACATGGGGAATACAATCCCTCCAATGTCCTCATGGAAGCGGAAAACCATTTTCATCTATGTAAATTCCTCTTGTTTATAGAGGAGTTCATAGTCTTTCTTTCGGGGATGTAAATTCTTTCTTTCCACTTTTAAGGATGTTGGATAGAAGATATCCTCAACTGCAAAAACGGTGACTTGGTGCCCACAGGTTGGAGGTGCATGGCACTTGCACGAGGCCACCAAGGAGCATTGGCCGGGACTGCTTGGTGGAGATGGGAGAGATTTTTGCGTGGAAGACACAAAAATATCGGCCAACGACACACAATTAGCAAGAACATGTAAGAACATATGGCGGTGTGAATAGCGAATCGATTAATTAAACTTAACTCATTTCTTGGGATGTATTCAACGCTCGGGCGAATGATGGGATGCATGCTTCGTGAGTGTTCTTTTGACATCTTTTGACTGACCTATTATCTCAATATCGGTTCTACTGTGATTCACCAGCTTTAGCCACTCAGCTTTCTTTGAGAGGGCAGGAATCGTGGAGTTGAATCAGGTGCGTGTCTTTAAAAGGTGGTTTCCATGTGTTGAGGAATCCCGCGCTTTCGACAAGATTACCCTGGTAAAATGGGCCGCAAATGAATCTTTCTAAAACAAAGGACAGGATTTTCTTGAGGGCTTAAATCCGAACAAAACTCATACCTCGGAACCCCGGGTCCACCTGTGCACTTCCAGGAGATGCCGCTGAAGTCATTCTTGGGATTCTCATCGGTTTCAGCTCTCATTGGTCTCTCTCGGGGCACCAGCTATTCTGTCGCCTGGCACAAACAGCCGGGCTGCGTGCTGAGAAGAGGTGAAGTACATCCGGTCGCTCTTTTTTTCTGCGATCGATGTGAGTCAAACATTTGGATGAGTATCTAGATGGAACGGTACGCGTGCCACATGGTGACACATAGTCTATATACTGACAGTGACTGTTTGATCAAGAATGCCTCGAAGCCTTCAGAGGTGAATGATGTGCAAGCAATCGTGATAATGGTTTCAAAATGTTTCAATGTGTCTAAGTGGGAAGGCGATGAAACTTGAGCGGCCCTGCTTTTATGGCAGAAAGCAAGGTGAGGAACAAAAAACAATCATTTGGCCTTACTTCTTTGAAGCCAAACCCAAATAAATCTGTGAAACCCAATTGGATTGCGTGGACATCGGCCTCCACTCCTCATCACAGCCCCAAGTAACAACAAACACTTCCAAAATACACTTGACAAGCAATGACCACTTCAACCGTGTGTTCCCTGTTGTGGTCGTATTTGATGCCCCCAAAGAGCGCATTTTGTTGTTTTGCATTCGCACTTGAGGCCTCCAACGCCTACTTGGATGGCTTGAGCATGTGGCGCCAAGCTGCCAAGTTGCCCTTCTGCAGTGTACAGTGGGGACCCGTGGCAGAGGTGGGCATGGCCAGCAAGGACGGGGCCGAACCATCTTCGCAATCTTGGCGGAAAGGGTGGCCAGCTAAAGGGACACAGCGCTAGCAACACACATCTGAACAGCACCAAGCAAGAAGAGTTGGTTGTTCAGTTGTCTTTTGTATGTTGTATTTCTTGAGGCTAGAAGTGATTGCTTTAGTAGGATCACTGGGCCTTTTCGACAAGGCAAAGACCAGTAAAGACCAGGTGTATCGATGTGTGGAAATGAGACACACACAACGGGCCAGCGGATTTTCAGTCCACATGGTTCACTTGGCGCACTGCGAATGTGTATGTCAAATTAATTAGCCTTGGTCCGGAATGCTTCTCTTGCTTTTCATCTGCCATTTGGGGATTGCCTCTTTTGGCTCAACATTGAAGGAACTTTTCAAGATAGATCTGGTGGACTGGTCTATATGGATTCAAGCCGTTGGGCTTGTGGGATCCGAGCTCAGCTATGTAACCATACCATGGGTAATTATCCCTAATTAGTCGGGATCTAGTCCAACAAACATTTTTGCTTCCAGCGCTCCAATCGCACTCTCCAAGGGCATTCCTGGGCCGCACACCAGTGATTCCCTGCAGGACCATGCAGGACAGGCGGACTCAGCTCTACAGCTTTTACCCCCAGGGCATGTCAAGGCGGCCGTGAAGCTTGCGCTCACAGGCACGGCGCAATAACATTTGAACCCACATGACCCACATGGCAATAAAAGGTCACGAAGGGAAGAAAGGGGCGGTTTAGTCTATTTGGCTGACAGCTGACAGTGGGTGACTGCCTTTGCGTGCGTTTTGAGCTAGTTGCCCCGCCTGATAGAATCCGTTTTGAGGACGGCAAGCAGTCAGATTGTGTGGAAAGGGATTGCTAGGATGAGTCAACATGTAGGTCCATTGTCCACTTAGTTGTCCACATTTATGTCAACAATGGTGGCCGTTTCTTTTGTCCAACCAGGGTTTCCTCCGTTAGATTGGACCTTTAGAACTGAATGTGGTACTGTATCCCAGTTAACACTTGCAGTGGCCAGTGACATGCTCAGCCAATATGTAATAAGTGAATCGGGATTTCTGCAAACAGTTTGTCTCCTGTTACTGTACTCGGTAAGTCAGGGTGCTGAGTCCTGGTCTGAATGGTCGCCCTGAAAAAGCATGGGCCCCGAGGCCATCCAAAACCACGGGTTTGTCCTAGGGCCATGTTGGATTTGTTCATCCGGTCCTCACATCCCAGAATTCATTGAAGCCTACAGGCTTCGATCATCGGCCGTGGCCAGTGCCAGCGCTTTGCTTTGCAAAGGCACCTGGGGGTCTACGTGGGGTGATGTGGGCAGACTTAGAACATATTCAATTCAATATCGCCTGCTTGCTCTCCAGATTTGTTTCCTTTGACCTTTCATGGAGAAGCCCTTTATGTTTAAGAAAGTGCAAGATGAGATCCAACATCATCACTGCATGGCTCTACATGATACCTATATGGCTCACTCATGTATCTTCGTCCAAGCAGCACAAGTTCTCGGAGCGCCCAGGGAATCGGAATCAAACCTCCCTGTTTGATTTCTTCGACCACAGGAAGACCTGTGTGGTCAATCAATCTGTGCGGCTGTCGACAGGTGGAGTGGGGCCGCTTCCTGCGGGAGCTCGGCGCGGAGCTTCCAGTGCTGGAGGAGTTTGCTGGTGAAGAGGAGAGTGGGATGCGGAGCATGGGCGATGTCCTACCAAGCGGGGCAATGCCGGATGTCAGGATATGGGGTGACCAGAAACGAGACCATGGTACACATTAATTACGTGATATAGCCAGTCCGAAACCTAGACGCTTGGCTGTTGATTCTTTTGGAGATAAGGGCTATCTCTTGGAGATGAGTGCAATGTTTGCTATGTCAATTTTTGGACAGTGTAGTTGTTGCTTTAACACTTAAAACGACCGACTGCACACAAGGTGGTTCTCCATAGCTATAGAATTGGGTATAGGCTGTATAGGTCTTGTCCCTGCCATTAGCTTTCCACGCTCCTCGGAGCACATCCCAGGAGGCAGCTGTGGCCGGTAAGGCTGGTCCCAGCTTGCCAGCTGCTCTGAAGGGCCTGGGCCCTGCCGAGTTGGAGACGAAGATTGGAGAGATGGTTCAAGGTTGGCCCGAGCCCCGTGCGTGTGGAACCATGACAAGGTCGTTTCTTTTTTTCACTGGCTACTCGGTACCCGTTTAGTCTTTACTATTTGGGAGAGATGCTCCTCATGGTGGGCACACAGAAGGGGGTCCTGATTGAAGATTTCAGTTTCCTGGCATGAAACAGTAGATGTGTCCTCTGCCCACCTTTCGATGTGCCAACGGGTTGTGCAACATGAACTTCAACCGACTTCAAACCCCGGCATTGGACCTGCAAAGTGGAGAGCATCCCGTCCTGCTTGGTCATTGTGCCTTGCCGAATGAATCTGGCCACCGCCCGCCCGGTCCCATCGCCCGCGCGGCACGGAACGCGCCAAGCGCTGCAATGGGCCAAGTGTCCCGCGATCGGGTTGTTATCGTCGCATGGGTAGTCAGTGCAGCGACTGCAAATGTCCAAATCCGAATGAGCCCGCTGTTGTGACTTGGTGGAACTGGGTGGATGATTTGGGCGAATGCTTTTGGCACTGCAAAAAATAATGCAACAAAGACAAGTAGATTGTCATTTTGAACTTGGACATTTAACACCTCAAGTAGAACATGTCATGGATATTCTGAGGCGCTTTCCATTTGCCCCTTTTTTTTGGACTGGTGCAACTTTGGTTTGGGCTTGTTTGGAACTGAAGGTATGATAGGATTTTGATGGATTTTGCAAATCCATTTTTACTCCCATCAATTGATACATGCAAGATCATGTAAGCGCTGAATGTGGATTCATAGTTCTACGACTTGTACAACTGAAGATCACCCAAAAATTCCGGATTTGTTGTTGGCTAGGCCTCGTGCATTCTTCAGGAAGATCACAATCATCACAGCGATTTCCACAAATATTCATAGCATGGTCGACTTCTAGATAGAGACACCAATCTCATTGCATTTGCTGCAGACACACCCTGAAGATCAACTTTCCTGCAGGACAACTCTGCGAAAATCCTGTGCTTTTGGGTGATTGCTGTTTTGTGACCATCTTGCTGAGGTGCAATTGGGTCGCGCCCTCCCGAGCGACTATGTGGCGAAGGTGATTTCAGACTTTGCCCCATCTGAGGGACCTGTTGTGGAGAAGGCCCGCTTGGGCACAAAGTCTTGTGAAGAATGGGGATTGGTATCGGATCCAACCAAACATTTTCCAGCTGTCACCCATCACAGGCATCTAGATTCTAGATCAACAAAAAAAAGAGCATCAAAACATAAACATAAAAAGAGGATCAAAAAACAAATTATCAAAAACAAATATTACTTGATAGGCCTCTTCTGCTGCTCTGCTGGCCCTGTGGTCTGCGGGTCCTCTGGTCCTCTGGTCCTTTAGTCCGCTGGTCCCCTGGTTGCTTGGTCGCCCTTTGGCCCCCTGGTCCTGGTCCGTTCCCGTGGTCTCCTGGTCCTCTGGTCTGCGGGTTTTCTCTTGTAGCTTATTGGCCGCAGTTTTCCTGCAAGCGTACAATGCTTTTGGCTTCGGTTGCCTTAGGTCCTTTTGTGCACTTTTAGATGCCCTTCACTGAAAGGGCGATAGGGTACATAGTTTCTAGTGATTTCTTTTGTGGTGCTGTGTTTTAACGTTTGGTTCGCTTTGGGGGGGAGGCGCTGTGCCCTCCCCCCCAACCCCCTCCAGCACCACAAAATCTACACTCTTGCACTGCGCCTGCCACGAAAACTAACTATGTAAAGGGTCGCCCATCGCATTTGCAGATTGTCCTCCTCTTTTCGTATGGAATGTAACGACTTTTTGAGCCGATGCTCAGCCCGCAACCATCCTCAGTGGGCTAGAATATGTTTTTTGATGCCCTTTTTATGTTTTTTTTTGATCCCCGGTTAATATTTTTTTGCTTCCCTTTGTCTTATTTTTGATCCCTTACCCCCCATCACATGACGACCTAATGGATTGTGATTATGGTGATTTTTACTAATCCAACTACCGTAAGTGATTTACCATGAGTTAATTTATCGAAAGAATCATAGAAGTGGCACAGGATCAAGACTGGGATCGGGGTGTCTACCCACCACCAGATCGTGGAAATCATGCATTCAACCTGTATTCAATCTTAGCTTTGACAGTCTGACTCTGACTGCGGAGAGATGGGCCAACTCTGCCCAAAGGTGATCTCAGAGGTCCTCGCGTTGGATGGATCCATAGACCTGGAAGATCCTGAAGAGCTTGCAGTCGACCTTGGAAGCACAGACCCTGCGAACCATTCCTGTGACAAGTCTCAGCTCGAAAACTTGTGTTATGTGGGGAATGAAGCTTTGTCTGATCCCAAAGACTGCCCCGCACCCCTGAAGGGACCAATTCAAGACATTCTTTACAAATATGGCTTTATCATCGGGCAATAACCTTTAAGTAACAAGGGGAAGGCAGAGGGGGAAGTTCCTGGAAGGCTTTTGCGCAGTGCCAGTAGTCATGTCCTCTCGTCCCCGAATCACCAGGGTCAGATGCTTCTTTGCAACTCTGTTCCCTGATCTGATTTGATCCCTCATTGAAGATGTTTTCTCTCTTGGAACTACTTCAAGATACTTCAATGATAGGTCTGATAGGTATCTATGCTGATTCTTGAAACTAGCGTACTTGCTTGGTTTGAAAGACTCGGGCTGGCACCTGCGGGGGGAAGCAGGCGAGACACACCTGGATTTGAGGATGGCAGCCCAACCCGCCTGGTCGCTTTGATTCTTTATCATTCTCCGACAAACCCAGGAGGTTTGGGACAAAAGCGGATCTCGATCCAAGGCCATGCAGATGGAGCTTCTGTTGCTTCGAGATCTCCAGATTTAGCTTCAGATGATGTTGTCGTCATTGTTGTTGTCGTTGTCATGGCACCGTTTTTCCGTTCTTCAAACATCACGCATCATTGATCATGTGAACCAACTGTGTCTCAAATCGAAGCCTTGTACATAATATATATATATATAATAAAATACTTCTATGCATTTTAGAAGTTCATTTCAAGTTCAAGCGTGTCTCTTTCCAACGAGGTCGAAAGGCATTCTTTGTAGAGAAAAACGGTCTCCTTTCACAGCCATGCTTTTGTGGAATCACCCAGAACGGGAATCCACAGAGCGAAAACAAATATCTTGTTGTTTCTTTTCTTAAAAGAAGAGCATCATGAATCGGTTTTGCGAAACCAGTGACTCACAGAACCTGCAGTGTTTTCGATTGGTGTTGTATTTGTCTTTGCGAAGCCACACCGGGACCTTGGAAATCATAGGTTCTGTCCGTGACACATGGTTTCTGCATCACACTCATGCAAGCTAATCGTCGAAGTTGGAAGTGGGAACAACAGTTTTTTGGTGCCGTGCCAACTGCAAGGATTATCGACCATCCCCGCCTTGACCATTGAGCCCGAGCTGTTGCGGGGGGTGTCGATGACCCAATGCTTGCAGCATGGCAGCCGCCTTTGGTTGAAAGCGCCCTCCGCGCCTGGGTTTCAGAACCTGCCTCACAACTTTCCCGAACCAATCCCAAAGACTCGCCAACCTCCATATGGTCACTACCGCTTTGGAAGCAAGGATCCTAAGCGGGTGTAAAGGGAGAGACCATGGCCCAAACTGGTGCAACCTCTGACATTGACCACCTCCGAAAAGCTCCTGTCCTGTACCATGGGGGCTGTTTGTTGTTTTCCATTTTTACACCTAGAAAAACTAACATTGGACAGAGCCAAGGCGCGCAGCGTTGTCTAACTTCCAGAATGACCGGACACCAAAATGAGGAAACCCTAGGAAACTCCAATATTTTTTTGGACAAGGTGTATCGGGTGGGTGACTGAGAGTAGTCGGAGCCCTAGGGATCAGTAGCTCAAACAAGAAAGTTGTGCGGCCGCGCTCGCGACTAGCCAGGACTGGCAGCTGGAGGAACGCCTGGCCTTGTTTTGCAGCTCCGAGCCGACGACAGAGACCTGAAATATATAAGGTTTGGGTCTTTTTTTTGCGGCGCTCAATAGAGATGAACAATGGAAGGTGTTTTTCCTTTAAGGGCCTTCCTTTTTTTTCATCTATCCATATCTTTTCTTCTTTCTTCTTTTCAAAACATAGAATTCCACTTTTTCCCCAGGTAGCGGTAGCTATGGGGTTCTTACTTCAAATTAAGGATGAGCTGGTAGTGTCCACTTTTGAGACAAGGTGTCGGTGCTAGTGCCGGTGCCGTGAGCTGGTTGTGCGCGCTGTCGAGACAGGGTGTTGGCGCTGGTGCCGGTGCTGGCAGTGCAAGCCTTTTAATTTTTTTCTGCATTACTGGAGGCTCTATTTTTTGGTGAAGTTCTTGATTTGTTTAAAATATGTTTCAGCTGCTTAAGTTTTTTGAGTTAGTTGCTATCTGGCGTCTATGCCGGTGCAATTATCTCTTTGGAAGGGAAGGATGACCATGGGTGAGTGCCATCGCATTGCAATTCTTCGGTCTTGACGACGGCAAGGTCGGATACCTGGTGACTGCTGGTTTCCCATCCGCACTACTCACTACTCACCACCTGTTTCAAAGACCTAAAGCCTAAAACTCGCAAACAAACACAACATCACGAGGCCTAGTTGGTCTTCCACTAGACTGGACGGTGAAACCCAGTCAGAACCACCGTCATAGACTTCTATGGACATCCACAGGGGTTCCAGGATGACTATGATCCACTCACTGGATGGACCAAAATTCCACTGCTTTGAAGTCCTTGACGTGGTGCAACATCTCAGTCTTACAACGTCTTTGGGGTGTTCATGGGAGATCGCTTTTGCTTTTGGTGGGTGGATGTGTGTGGTGTTTTGGTGAGGCGGTGGTGGCAACTCATCCTCTAATAAGCAATAAATAGGAGTAGTGGTGGCGGCAGCAGCAGCAGCAGTAGTAAATTAAAGTCAGCAGTCTAGCTACCAGTTACCAGTTGTCAAAGCCAGCTACGATCCCTGCAAAAGGCGAAATTGAAGCTTAACCATGTTTGTGGTGCGGAGAGCACGGGAGATTATTTCATTCACACTCCACCTCATATATGTGTTTTGAGCATCTTGTTCATGTCGCCTTCCGCCTGAGTTGTGGCCCCCCTGATTTTCCGAGGAGATCGATGTCTTCATCTCTCACACCTGGACTGAGCGCTCTTCAAGCAAGTTTTGCTTTCTACTGGCCAGTCACGGCTGGCCGGTCTCCTTGCTGCTTTGGGTGCTTGCTGTGGTGCTTTCGATGACCTGCTGTGTCCTGGTGAAACATGATATGGAGAGGCGTGAACAAGAATGAAAAGCACACCCAGGAAGCAGAATCTTAGAATATACAAATAAATTAAGTATCATGAAGACTTGGAGATTGTTCAAAACTAACCTGTCTACTGTAAAAAAACATTGAACATTTTGGAGCTATGTGGGGCAGTTTGGAGCATAGGCATGCTTCTTGAGACAATGACGGCCAAAGATGGGTGTGGTTCTAAAGTTAAGTGTCAATTCATTCTTGAAAACCATGTCAGATGAACATCCAGCCAGGTGATGTTTGGGTGTCGCCAGGGAGCTACTCTTGCTGAATAGGAATAGTTTTCCGAAGTCTTTTTGTAGCAAACCACTTGGTGCAGACGGGAAGATGATCTTTATTTATCAACGTGTTAGCCGTGTTCGATTGAATTAGAGTAGGACAGTTTGCTAGATCAACAGAGTGTCCCTTTTCGTGGCATCACCCAGGACGATTGTCACTGAAAAGGACTATATAGGCATAGTATTCAGCGCAATCCTACCATTGGTAGCCATTAATCGAATTAAAGACTTAAGTGCATAGCGCCCGCACTTGTTTGCCGCAGAACACTGAAGTTGGTGCTGTTGCCTCGGACTTTCATCCTCTATGGCTTCAGCCACCACCCCACTTCACTGCTTCGGGCTCAAGGACGTGGCTCCACTACGTGTAGTGCACGTGCTGGTCGACGGTCGCCATCTTCGTAGCCAGGCCCGCCAACACATCTCCTGAGTCATGGAGATAGCGTTGCACCGCTGAGGACGTCCATCTTCCAGTCCTCTTGACAACCTCAATCTCTCCGGTGGCTTGGTATAGCGCCGAGGCGCCTCCAATCCGCAACGAATGCGACTGGAACCTCTCCGCCGGGAGTCCCAAGGCCTTGGCCGCCTTCTGCAGGAGGTTCTGGATCTCCAAGCGTTTGATCACTGGCCCCGAAGCCCAGCGAAACAGCGGCAGGTGGCTTTCCGGGCCTCTCCCAAAGCGCCTCGGGGCGACCTCACGAAGCCGATGAAGAGCGGTGACCACGCAGACGTTCTCAATCTCGGTCACCTTCATGGTCTTACACGTGCCGAAGGCCTCCTGATCCGCCTTGGTCTTCCTGAACTGCAACGTGACTTCCTCTGGCTTCTCTTCATCTGCATTGCCGCGGGTCGTCAGCGAGATGTCCTGACCCCTAACCACCATCTCCTGGTCGACTCCTCCTGAATCCGCAAACTCGCGAGCCCGCAGCATGAAGAACCATGCCGTGAGGAGTGCCGCCTGGATCATCCTGCAATCAACCTTCAACTCGCCAATGGCTTCTGCCCCCGCAGCTAATTGCTTGCCGAGCCACTTGAGCATTTGCACGGTGACTCCCAATCTTCTGGGTCGCTTCACGGAGTGCTTCTCCAGGGAGTTCAGGACGATCCACAACCGATGCATCTTCGTGGTGGTGTCGCCATGCCCCGCCCTCTTGTGTGCATCCTTGATGGCGAACACCGCTTGCTTCATCGTGGCCACTGATGTGCCCAGCCAACCCAGGTACCCGAGGTAGCCAAGGACTTTGTTCTCATTCTGGATCTGGTCCCCCTTGTGGTCAAGGTACGGTGTCAGCCATCCCTGCCTCTTGCTCCAATCGCACCACTTGTGCCAGGCTGCCAGGTAGGCCTTCTGTGTGCTTTCGGCCTTGTCCCCCGTGAGGTGCGCCTCAAGCCATTCCTCAACCTGAGCTTGGATCTCGAGGTCCTGGTTGAAGTCGGGGTTCAAATCCACGAAGCGGCCACCGTCCTCCACAACCGGTTTCACTGGGCCCTTACGACGTCCCCCACATTTCCTCTCTTGGATGCCGCCGAAGTCGTTCACCTCGTCCAGAGCGCTCAGCCATAGGTCTTCACCCCAAAACCAAGCATGCCCGGTCGGTGTTTCGACACCCCCAGCCTTGCGATGAGGGTTTGCCCTGCCGAAATCTCCTCGTCTCCAGCGGCGTAGCCACTGCAGGAGCGTTCCCAGAGTCTTGTAGTCCTCCTGGTCCACGCACATGCCGGCCTTATTCTCCCGCATCCCCTTCGCCAACTCCGCTGCGACTCCGACCAGATTGAGCGCGGTTCTGCGACCAGTGGCTCTACATCCTTCTCTTTCGGCCTCCTTCTCCCCGATTTGTGCGACCAGCTCCTGCCATTCGTCTAGTCGTCTGCCTTGGAGTACCCAGATCTCCTCACCGGTCAAAGTCCTCACCTGCCCCACTGGTGCCGCCTTGTCCTGCACGAAGATCTTCTGCATGCCCTTCTCGGTGGAGTCCACCAGTGGCCACCTGCCAGGCCCACCCATGGAGTAGACGTTCTGTCGTTCCCCATCGGCTTCCAGCCATACGTGGGCCGCGACGACCGGCAACATAGCTTCCTGCCCGAGGTTGATCGCTGCCTCGACCTTGCACGTCGGGGTGCAACTGCCCGCGTGGATCTTCTTCAAGTAGGAGCCCAGGGAGGGAGCTGTAACCGCCTTCACCATCAAATGCTTGATGGTGTCCTCCGCCTTCTCTCCAGGGGCCAGGAAGCAAGCGATCCTCCTTCTGACCAAGGCCTCCCCTAGCTCCGAAGTGAGAAACTCCTGGGAGCTACAACTCCATCCGACCGAAATGGCCCACTGGTCCAAGCGGGACCACATCACCTTCTGGGGCCCTTCGAGGATTGCCACGTCGAAGACTTCCTGGTCCAAACACTGGGTGAACTCCTTGACCTTCTTGCCCTTTGGGTCTGGGCCGATGGTGCCTGCCACCACCTTGTATCTTCCAGGGCTGCCACCGGAGAAGTACTCAAAGTCTCTCACATGCCGCTGGCCCGGCGTCCACTCAATGACCTCGACCTCATACAGATCGGCCGGTTGACGGAAGATGGCTCTGAAAACCCGTAGTTCCCGGAGACGCATCAACTCATAGCGGTCCTCTTGGTCTGCCCATGACAAGAAGCAGAGGCCAAAGCGCTCGGTGTCCTCCAAAGCCTGACAGATGCTCTCCTTGATGTCCTGCTTGTCCCAGCCCTTCTCACGCATAAGTTGCGCTGCCTCTGGCTCCGGCAAACGGGTCAAGGCGTCCGCATCCTCGTTGTGGAAGGTCCGCCACCATCCTCCGAGGATCCTGCATCGATGCCGCTTCTCGACCAAATTCAAGACTCGGATCAGAAGCCTGCCCGCTCGAACCCCGCTCTTGCGCCCGGTGATCCAAAAGTACACCACCTTGTTGTCGCCGGCGTAGATGACCACCCTGCCTTCCCAGAGATGGCCGACCTTGCATGCGAACGCGACAAAGCTAAGCATCTCCCCTAGGTGGATCGCCAGCTTGCCATCTCCTTGGCCCTCTGCCTCGATCACCTGTCTGATCCATGGCTTCAGCAGCTCGGTTGACTCCCTGCACGCCAAGTGGTTGGTCCAGTCAATGGCCGCCACGACGTCCGGGGTTGCGTCCGATGACACGAAGACTGGTCCGGCTCCTTGTTGACCCGGGAGCGCCAACCTCTCCATTGGTGGAAGTAGCTCTCGGATATCTCCGCCGAACTTCACTGCCCACGTCTCCGATCGAGAGCAGAGCCATCGGCAGTCCTCAAACAACTCCCAAAGTGACTCCCAAGCATTCTCCTCCTCGATCTTGCGGCTCTCCGATCCCTCTGGCTGCCATAGACGTGGCTGCACTGCCGCACCGCCATCCACACCGCCGAGGAACAGGTCCGCCGCCCGTAGCTCATTTCGTAGCCCGGCTATGACTGCACTCCACCCATTGGCAATCCCCCTGAAGCGTTGCAGCTCCTTCAGGGGCAAGCTCTTGTTGCCATAATTGAAGTGGGTTTGCGCCAGCAAGTAGGCCCCCTTGAGGATCCGCGCCTCTGGCAAAGACATCTTCTCCAAGTCGGCGTCAATCGTAAGCCCCCATACTGTCTGTTGGTTGCTGAACTGGCCCTCCTCCGCGTCTTTCAGCTTGTTGATGGCTTTCTCTCCCAAGAGCTTTACCACCGCCCACTCATAGACTTCGCTAGACACCCAGGGCCGCAAGCCAATCATCGGTTCGACCAGGACCATATCGTCAACCAGGATCTTCCCACAAAAGTGCGACTCCCCGTCCCTTCTCGCATGCTGTGGTCGCAGGTTGCGGTGGACCTCCTCTGTTGCCCGGCCCCATGCCGTCCACTCGCCAGGAGATCCAGAGAAGCCGAAGCTGGAGACTAGGTAGATCAGCGTGAGGCCCGATTTCTCATGCCCCCCTGCCTTCTCTTCTGAGCCCATGAACTCCGGTCTCCAACTCAGCGTCTCGAGGATCGACCCATAGAAGCCGGAACGCCCCCGCCACATCCTTCTTGGCCATGACGACCTTCACCCCTGGATACCTTGTCTTCAGCCATAGGACCCTTCTCACTTGTTCATGGGTCGGCTGAGCCGCCGGCGGGTGCAACTCTTTGTGAGTCCCCTCGTTGACCTGACGCTGGTCATGGACCAGTCGAGCCTCCGTGGAGAGCGTCCGATTGGGAAGCATCTTGGGGACCAACTCGAAAGGCGAGGAGACCGTATGGCCAAGATTGGGGTGGTCAGTTGATACGACCAAGACTCGGTGCTTTGTGATGTCCTTCATCAACTGCACATAGACCTGGCCCAAATCTGCTCTGGCTCGCGGGTGCGGCCTTGTCACAACCCGTTCCCTTTGGCCAAGGTAGCGAGCCGGCATCCCCTGTGATCTCACCTCTCGAAGGTAGGCCACGTGGTCAGGGTGCAACAGAGGATCTAGCTCTTCGCTATCGACACCCTGTAGGTTATTCCTGCCCAAGTGCTCCCTCGCAATCCAGAGGGCCACAGCGGCCTTCTCCACTGATCCAGCCTGGTCGAGCAGCATGTCTCCCCTTTCTCTGACCATCCTCCACGCTGTTGGTCCAGCTCCTTGGATCCGGTCGATCTCTTGGATGTAGGCCATAGCTGCCGTAGCCGCCGTACCCGATATGCCTTCCTCCTCGAAGTCAA